TTTTCGATTTTTTTTTTTTTTTTTTTTTTTTTTTTTTTCGTTTCGCCTCCCGTCCCCTCGCTTCGCGGGCATAATACGAATCGGCCAGCAGCAATCATTATAATATTATAATAATATTCGCCGCCGCCGGAGCATACGTCCGCCGGCCGGCCGGCCTCTGCATAATAACGCAACGTTACCCGTTTACGCGTTTTCGCATTATACTTTTGTTGTCATTACGCGGCGCGGTGTACCAATTTTATCGCGCGGCGCGTTCTGCCGCGTCGTCCGCAAACGCGGATTTTTTCCCGCCGTCGGGTATTTTTCGTTTGACCGCGGACCGCGCGATCCCGTACGTAGAAACTGAGACGGAGAGAGAGAGAGACAAAAAAAAAAAACGCCGGACCGCCGGCTTTTCCGCGTACGCGTCATATTATACGCGGCGGCGGAAATCGGGAGGCGAAAGAAAAGAACGAGAACGAAAAACGGAGAGAGAAAGAGAGAGAGAGAGAGAGTGAAAACAACTACAAGAACGAGCCCGGCGGGAAAACTCTCATACGCGCGATACGGGGCAATAACAACGCGGCGGCGGCGGCGGCCGGGCCGGGAAATCGGAACAACCCGACGCCGGCCGCCGTACTGTTATTATTATTATTATTATCATTGCGCGGGCCGCGCGCGACGGATTCGCTCGCCGCGGTGAATTAAAGTCGTCGGCGCGGCCCGTCGTTTATGCGTTCCGTACGCGCGCGACGGTCCTCTCGGGACGAATAACGCGAAACGGGCGGCCGGCCGTATAAATAACGGCACCGCTGCGCGCGCGGGCTGTTACGTATTACCGCGGCGTCGGCGGCTACTGCGACGACGGGCCGGGGCCCGTCGTCGACGGTTTTCCCGTTATTGCCGTACGGTCTCTGTCGCGGGGTCCGGGCCGCCGCGGTCGTAACACGTTTATTGTTCTCCTCCGGTCCCAATTGCGTTTTGTACCGGTCGCGCCGGGAAGACGTCGGCAAATAACGCTGGGAGTGTCTCCTGCGGCGCGGCGGGGGACAGGAGAGATAGAGAGAGAGAGAGAGAGTGAGTGAGAAAAATTAAGAAAAAAACCGCGAGAACGGTAGGGAATGGGCCCCGCCGACTCTTCGCGTCCAACCGAAAAGTAGCGCGTCGATTACGCGCGTAGGTTTTCAAACGCCGCCGTCGATCGCGGGCCTGTCATCCGAAAACGGTCGAGACGCGGGTTTTGAAAAAAAAGTTTGAAAAAAAAAAACGCGTCGCAATACGATCGCGGGGACAGGATTTGATTTTTTTTTTTTTCCGTTCGAAAAATCGTTTGAAACGCGCGGGACGGTCGGCGAACGATAGCGCGGCAAAGTAATGGTGTCGAAGACGCCGCGTCGTGTCATGCAAGTTTTCGTTTCGCCGTAACCGTGAATTCGCGTTGAAAATGAAACGGAAAAACATCCGAAGTGAAAAACCACCCAAAGCCGGGGAACCTAACGGAAATAGTAAAGAAACCGACGCGGTTTTTTTTTTGTCCGTCACCCGCGGACGCGTTCGCGAAAATCACGAATTTTGCGACTCGGTTTTCGGGCCGTTTCGCAACGGCATCGCCCCGGCGGCCAGGCGCCGTTTAATCGCGCGGTCAAACGTCAGCGTGTTGCTCGCGGACTTTGCCGGACGGGATTTTCCGTTATAAAGAAAAGTAACGAGAAATCGCCGTAACGGTTTGTGACCGGCGAGACGATCGTAAAAAATAAATGGGAAACGAAAAAAAAACAAACGACTGTCCCGAGGATAACGGAAACGGGCGCGACCGCCGCTCCGATAATTCGATCGGCGACAAAACGGGAGTTTGCGGACTCGCGCCCAAAAATAAAGTCACGTCCACACGTGTCCGTATATCCGGTGGGTCCGCGGCGGTGCAATAGTGAGAGAATGGAAATTTTAGCGGACCCGCGCCGCCGGTTGTGAAAAATCCAAAAATTATATCAGTTTTCTTCGAGATCGGCCCGTCGTCAGAACATTCTGTTTTCAAAGAACGGATTCGCCAACGCACGCGCTCGTCTTACGAAATGTTATTTTTATCGCGTTTTTTTTTTTTTTTGAACTTTCCGCGAACGTTAGCGTTATTCGGTTGTCTCGCTCAAAACGACAATCGAATATCCAACGGCGAAAACGCGTGGACGCACACAAATACCGTCGAAATGGCATTCACCGATATTTGAATTTCGGTGCCAGTTACAATCCCGGCCGTTTCACACCACCCGAGACGGTGCGAACCACGTGTCCCATATTTCGGTGCGAATTACAAGCGCGGTTAAAAAACGTTGGATTGCGTATCGCAAATCGCATTCGTATTACACGTTCTGGGTCGATTTTTCGGTGCGAAGCGACTACGCCCGTCCGAAAAAAAAATAGAAAACTATTCTGAGCGGAGTTCGGTCGACAGCGAATTGCCGACAATATGCAATATTATATTATGCCGCGTTATGGTGAAATGATTGACTCGGCATTAAGACATTCGTAATAACGTACCGGGGTTTTTCCCGCGTTTTTTCCCCCGGGTTTTTCACATTCGCCGGGAAAACCGAAAAGCGACCTCTCTAATGCATCTCCCCAATCAGATTTCCATTTAGGAAGAGCGCCGTCGTTGTAAATCGGAGCGATTGTCGCTAGTAGAAAAATTATCCGCAGCAAAAAAAAAAAAAAAATCTCGTTATGTTTTACGCTCATATGTTTCGTACGTTTTCCCGATATTTTTTTTTTTTTGCTTTCGGTTTTTCATCATGCTCGACGAGAAAACTACCGTGGAAAATCGAGAAATCGTGAAACCTCTCCCCCAAAGCGCCTCGCCCGGACCGATTATTTACTTTTGGAAAAGTCGCTATACTCGCAAATCGGGGCAGGGTGTTCTTCTCCGGCGGAAAATTCGCGCGCGGAACTCCGCGCCAAACCGTAAAAACCGGCGCAACGCAATTCGATTTCGCGACGGATAACGACAAACGTACCCATACGGTCGGGAAAATCGAGAGCAAAACAATTACGCGTGTTCATCGCGTTACTTTCTAACGTTCACGTATTCGCCGTATTCGCGGTTTCGACGGGGCGTCCTTCCGCCGGACGGTCGATTGAAAACGGTTCACTCGCGTTGTGTGTTTTAATCCGAATGGTAAAAATAAAAACACGAAAAAACCCGACGACGACGAACGCGCCTGCAACATAATAACATTTAGACCGTATCGCGGCCGGTCGGTCCGTGTGAATAAATAATTGTTCGCGTATTATTATCGCCGCCGTCGCGGACCGGGGGGTTTTTTCCGTTCTTTCGGGCCGCGTCACGTATAACGATAACGATAAAAATAACACTCGGGACCCCGGGGGAAAAAACGATTGTAAACGTATTATTTTTAAACCGCGAAAAAAAACCGCGCGCATTCCGACGGCGCGGTTCCGGACGGACGTCCGTCGTCCCAGGCCTCCGCGGGGACGCGGCCAACGCGGAACCCCCTCCTCACTCCTCCCCAATCCCCCCCACAGCGGCGACACCGGACATTAGTCGCCGTGTGCCCGCATGATATCTAAAGGGGGGGCGTTTTTTTTTTTCTTTTTTCCCGTTTAAAGTTACGGAACGACTTTATATATAAAACTTTTACTCACCGTCGTCGAACCGGCGGGTGGACGTGGATACGTGGTGCCCGTTAACGAGGGCCGCGGCCGCGCCCGCCGATTGTCCGCGCGACACGCCGTCGCACTCTTCCTCGGACGCGTCGTCGTCGAGGACCTTGACCGGTCTGGACTGCTTTCTGCGGGACATGCGGACGACGGCGCGGTGACGGTGACGGAGCTGCTGCTGCTGCTGCTGCTGCTGCTGCGGTCGTGACGGTCCGACGGTAAAACGGCAAACGTCACGCGGCGATAATGCCGTCGACGGCGGCGACGACGACGACGACAGTGTAACGCGATTTTTCTGGCCCGTCGGGAGAACGGTGGAATTTACCGTCGGCGCTATCGGTCGGAAAACGGGACGGTCCGTCCCGGCGGTTAATTGATCGCGGAATAAAACGGATATCGGCTATCTGCGGCGGCAATGTTCGAATATCGGTTTCGTCTACACCGCGACGGCCGGCGCGGCGTCTGCGGCTGCGGAGACGGCACGGGGTTCGGCGGCTGTGGCGGCTCCGGGACGAACGCTCCGGAATCGGCCGAGGTCCATAATATTATCGTCCGTGCGATTGTCACGTATTTTTATTGCACGCGGAATAAATGTTTTTGTTTTTTTTTTTTTTACGGCGGAAAAAAAAAATAAATAAATAATAATAAACGAATAAATAATTCGCGAATGTCGATCGGATATAAAAAAAAAAAAAAAAAAAAAAAAAAAAAAATAAAAATATTAATAATAATAAATAAATATCCGTCCGTTCGAGGCGGAAAAAAAAATGTATATATACAACAAGGAAAAAAAAAAAATAAAAAAATATCGCGACTGGCGAAAACGCGGTACACGCACGGGACGTCGCGTCGCGTCGAAAACACACAGCGATGTGACGGGTGTGCGCGCGGACGGACGGACGGCTGTGGCGACGACTCGGTCGGCAGCGGAGTAACGAGTGACGGCGCGACGCGGTTTGCCGGGACGCCGTGCCGCGGCGTCGTCGTCGTCGTTCGAATATTCTTCCGCGGCGGCGGACGCCGACGACGGGCGATGTTGCGAGTGCGCGTGCGTGCGCGTGCGCCGGTCGGGTATACGCGCGGTGTTGGTGGGACGGAGACGGAGACGGACGGACGGACGGACGACCGGTATACACGCGCGCGTACACAAACACACGTACACACACACACACACGGGCGCGCGCGCACACACTCGCACACACGCCTGTACACACACACACACGCACACACTCTACTCCTCTCCGCTCGTCAGAAGCGCGCCCGCCCGTACACGAGACCGACGCGCCGCGGAGGGAGGAGGCGAAGAGATCGGCGGCGGCGACGCGCGCGCCTTTTCCTCGCCGGCCGCCGCCGTTGGACGCGCGGCGTCGGCGTGTGGCCAGGGGGAAGCGGGGGACGTGGCTCGCCGTTGGGCGTGTCCGGTGCCGCGTCCAATGACTGACGGAAGCGGACGACGCCGCCGACGACGCTGTGACGGCGGCGGCGGCGGCCGCCGCTGTATACGGTGTACCGACGTTACCACGCTCCGTCATCGTCGCGGCACGAGAAAAACGGCCGCGCGCGAGAGAAAACGAGAGCAAAAAATATTAATTTCCGGCCCGCGATATTATTAAATCCCCGCCGCCGCACGAGACGCGACGAAATTGTTGCGTCTTAAAATGAAAATACGTTTTGCACGGTGTACACCAACACATTAATGTACGTGTATACAATATTAAACAAATATTATAAAATAAAATAAATAATATCTATTGAATCATTTTACCACAATATGTGACATAAATACATCGTAAATATATTGTTGACAAAAGCATCCACTGTCAACTAAACTCCACTCAGAATCTTTTTTTCATTAAAAATGGTCAATCGTTGCTTACGTACAGAACATATCTAAAAAGTTGACAAAAAAGTTAAATCCATATGGGGGGGGGGAATGCGATCGCTAAAAACCGCTATTTACCTATACGTATTATTTTCAAAAACTAATACGCGGCGATTCTTCAACAACTTTTCTGCTTGACTTCATTTTGACTGTAATATATACCCGATGACGAATTTCTGTCTCGAAACCGGTCGTATAACACTCCCGGGCGACGCATTTATTCAATTATTTATTTTTTATTTTTATATGTACATTGTTTTCGTTTACATATTTATAAACATATCGGCGAAACGTTCTCTAATAATTCCACAAATGATGGTTACAGAAAATATTATGGTGCCATAAACGACATTATTTATATACAAATATAAATTGAAATAACGTCTATTTATTGCACACAACGGTGACGTGACGGTGTCTGAACCGTTCAGGGCTTCCCCCGACGAGTTAAAAAAAAATATTCTTAAAGAAGAGATAATAGCTTGTTGTTCTCAGTTACTCGGGCGCGTGACCGTTGCAAAAAGCGTCGTTACCGTCACCGTGTACCGCGATTTCGCGATTACTCGCGGTCGCTTTTTTTTTTTTTTTGATATTTCATTTACATCTTATACGTGTGCGAACTCGCGACTATATTTCGCACAAACCACGGTGTTTTCCGCGGTTTTTCCGTATACCTATAGTTCGTATATTTTTGTTAAATTGTGTAGTCATCCGTTGTCGTTATTTTTAATATGACTATACGTTAAATAATTTAAATGTATCAAATTATTTAACGTATAGTCAAAACTGTGATTTCAGTACATTTTGGAACTTTTTTTTAAAAACAATCTAAATCAATAACGAAATATAAAGCAGAAAAGCATACAATTTGAAAATTAAAAAAAAAAAAACGATTGTAAAACTCGTATTGTTAATTAATATGGAATACTAAGAAAATAACAAATGAAAATAAATACCAAAAAAACTACTAACACAAATTAAATACTAGAGGCTAAATTATTATTTTTTTTTTTTTTGTGTTGTTGTTTTTAATCTAAAAATGCATATTTTATGATTTTTAGTGCATATTTGGTAACTTTTTAGTACATAAATGCATACTTATTGCACTCTTTTTGAGTGCACAAACATCCGAACACTAATTATATCAGTCATCCATACATCCATAATGTGCGATTATCGCTAAATTATTCTGATAACGGTTTTATTATTCTGAAAATTCTTCGGAATAATGTGCTTTTTAAACGTGTTGGAACAGAGAAATATTCGCGTGATGCATTTGCAGCTAACAATGCTAGCATACTATTATTATATTGTACCATTTTGCACGCCGCCGTTTACAATATTATTTCCGCCAGAGAAAATACGAATTTGTTTACGGGTCTCCGGTGCGGTGTGCGCGTACCGCGCGAGATAACTGTCGGCATTTTCGGAGTTTACAGAAAAAAAAAACCGGCCAGTGAAAACGGCCGTTGCAGCTATACATCATCGCGGTAAAACAGCTCTCGCGCTAACATTCGACACGCACGATAATCTGCCGTACACTTTTTTTTTTCACCCCACCCAGCGGGGAGGGTGTGTTCATTATATCCGTACAATATCGTACACGAACGAGTATATTGTATATTTTCTCTTTTATCGCGGTTTACCTTCCGAAATCACACGGTTTTTGTGTCGTCCGGATTCGGACCCGAGGTCAATCATAGAAAAACATATAACAATGCGCATAATGCGTTCAATACATTTTTTTTTTTTCTTTACACGAAAAATACCTATGAATGGCAACGGAGAAATAAACTGCGAAAGAATAGTCCAGACTGACCGACCGATAGAATTGAATAAATAAAGGATGAGGGACTATATTATAAGAATTATATTGACCTAAAGAACGCGGGGCTGTAAAAAGAATCTAAATCATATGAAAAATATATTGTCACGTTAATGCCGAATGAAAAAGAAAAAATAATAATAAATCGCTATACACTATTGATAGTGTCTTACAGAATAACGAAACCCAAAATGTGGCGAACAATAAGGACCGAGGAGAAGTTTCACCATATTCGAGTAAAATTTGTTTTTGTCCACCGAGTACGCGTTATAATAAACCGCCTATCGAATTTCCAAGCATTTCTGCAGACGGTGTATAATATCTACAGAGCATTTAAAAATTAAACGCATATAATAATATCTAAAAAATTGCTCGAATACGAATATTTTAAACTGTATTTGTATTAAAAAAAAAAAAAAAACACACGGACCGTATGTAACAAATACGTAAATTAAACAAATATAATAATAACAGTTATAAAAATCATATACGCGAAAACGCTTACGAATTTTGAGATGTCAAGTGTCTCTGTCGAGCGTTCAATCGCCGAATGACGATAATCCGCCGTGGCACTAAATAACCGACGATTAAATTGTTGATGAAAAATCACTTTGGATACGAATTTTCAGCCAATATACACCGTATGCATTGCGTTCATTATGTAAACAAATAAATAACGCCCGACCGTCCGCAACACGCTTTGTTGATTCGCCGGGGGCAATCTGCAAGTACGGGGAAGACGAGTCCTCGGGACACGTCCCGGCGTGCGGAATTCGGTTTAAACGAATTCCCCCGAAATCCGATCAATTCAAGTAAAACACGACATTTTAACGACGTTTGACGGTGTTACGTATGCGATTACCGTTGTCGTAGACGTTTGGATTTGACTTCATAACATCGCAGACTGTGCGTTTTTAGTGTTGTACACCGCAGTATAATGGCGTATTGGTACCTGAAAATACTTAACAACACCGCGACGTCCTCATACGGAATATAATTCTACGCGCGGCGATGACGTTAGGACGGTTAACATCGATGTATAAACATCACAAATAATGTTCGGTTTATGTTAAACACCTATCATAATGAATGTCTGTGCAAAAAACCGTATTAGTTTTCAATATTATTCTGTACATTTTTTTTTTTCCGAAGGCATAGCTGAATATTTTCGCAATAACGGTTGGAAACGGTACCGATCGACGGAGCGGTTTGTTCCCGGTTTGCCGACTACCACCGATTCGCCGACGACGGCGGCGATAATATTAATTGACGTAGCAATGACGTATACAACTGTGCGGTCGAACACTATCCGTACTGGTCTATAACAGACCAGTTTTACTATCGTTACACGTATCGCACGATTATCGGCGTCGATCGACGGGCCGCGTGTGCGTTGATCCCCGATGTCGGGTGAATTGGTTCCGCGGCTGTTAGGAGCTAAGGTGTTTTAGCTAATTCGTTCGGTAAAGTGTAATGATAATTCATATTAGAAACCGGCCTTTTGTGGTCGAACGTTCCAGAATATGGGCACCACGGGCAATCTCATTGGTCTGGCGAAACCGCGGCCAAGGGAACGGGCTTGAAATGTCAGCGTCGCTCGTTCCCGGTGAGCCGGCTGAGGTTAGGTTCTCGGTCGGTTCCGTGCAGCGGTTTCTTGGAGGGGTCGGGAGAACTGCTTTGTCCTCCCCCCCCACCCCGGTCCGGCTAGATGGCACGGACTTCCCCGCGGCGCTGGATATATTAGTAGCAGTGGCGGTTTCGGTCGTATTTTTTTTTATAGCGAGGCGACTTGTGTATCGCTCCCCCTGCCATTCATGGCAAAAATTAAACTTCACAATAATGGAATTTATAATAATAATATACCCGTTTCGTTTGGTATACCCAACGGCCAACAGTATTCCAAACAGACGTTATTTTACCCGACAAAACAAACGGTTTTTGTAATTATTGGACCCATAGCCAATAGCGTTTTTGATATAAATTCGGATTAAATGACCTATAGAACACCTCACTTAGTTTTATGTCGGGAGTCAAAACTGACGAAATCGGAATAGCCGATTCATTTTTACTACCAGGATTCCCAACGTCGAAACGGCGTTTCCAACAACACGACAGCCTCGTCTGTCGCCGGATTCATAATGTAAACGTTGAATAAAAAACGCGGCGACGCGCGTACACAAAATTTAAACGAAAGGCATTGAAATCGGTTCCATTAGGCGCTGCGACAACGATAACTGATTTATGATTATGCGTTTTGTTGTCGAACGTGCCGCAGTCGTGGCCGCGGGCTTACCGTAATGCCACGTCTATTTTTAGTACACGGAGGCGGTGAAAAACGGGCCGCACGATGATCATTGAGCATGCGCGATTCTGTGTGTTTTTTCAGCCGCGTACATACGTGTGTGATACGACGATACACATGTAAAAATCCAGAGGCGCCTCTCTGACGACATCGCCAACTTTGCCGCCGGCTAAAATGTCAACGTTTGTCTACGTAACAATCATTTCGTGAATTTCTCATCGGTTTATCGTTATTTTCGGTAATAAACACTGAATGATTGTTATACGATAAATAAGATAAATGACAATTCATATTGTTAAATATCGTAAAGAAGAATTGTTTTTTTTTTTTAGAAAAAAAAATCATAAATACGCGGACAATTGTTGGCGAAATGTGCGCTGTCGGTGAACCGAGAATTATACTTTTAGAGTATTTGTTACTAAAAAATTTCAGGTGAGGCGCCGCCTCACTTGCCCCACCCTCAAAGCCGCCACTGATTAGTAGCGCCGCGAATGTTATTTGAAGCCAAGAGCCCGTTCACACGATCCAGAATCGGATTTTTTTTCGCCGTATAAGCCAGTGACAATGTAATTTATATGAGTTTATTCAGACGATACGGTCGAGAATCGTACGCGGTAAAATTACCGATTAGGTCGTTCGGCTGTCACTGCATACTGAATTCGGCAGTTCGGCGGAAAAACCGATTCGGTTTATGGTGGCAATGTATTTATTATCGCCGCATTCAGACGATTCGGTACGGTCACGAGAGACCACGTTTATTTGCCTTTTGTCTTTTCGAAAGACAACAACGTAGTCGTTCACTTAATTTTCTATGACAGTCGTCACGGACGACACAAGTACAGAAATTCGTATATCTTTGATTGAAGAAACGCCCGCAATACGGGATAAAACTTTAAATATCTATAAAGTTGACACTATTAGAGAACAAGCATAACCAACAAATAGCTAATCCAGTATTCGAGGGTGCGACTTAACCAGCAATATCAGAGACAGCCTAGATACCTAGACTTGAATTCGCTTCTTCTGTTTGATTTAAAACTATAGATGTATTAAACGAAAAATTGTCAAAAGTTTAAATTTTGATTATTTCCATATTATTATAAATTACTCAAGTTAATTTGTTTTGGTAAAAGTTACTGCCTGTTTGTATTGAAACAATTGCGTTAATTATAAAAATTATATTACTTACCTTAAGCAGATAGTTAATTGGTCTTCTGGACTGATACTCCTTCCCATATGTGTGTCTTGCCGTATCAAACACATTTCGACTCTTCTAAGTAAATCGTCAAAAGTGGGTATCGACGTACGAAAATCATTAAAAATGTAGTCTCATCCTGTCTTAATTGACACGCGAGTGCGCTTGAAGGGCCCGAAACGTTACTTTGACTTAGAACAGGACGCACCCAGTACCTTCGATTTGAAATAATTTGCCCCGCTGTCGCCATTTGTGTCCATCCGCGCCAGTGGAATATTAGAAGCGTATTGATAGTAGTCGACCCCGCCACGACTAAATACGCATACGCTGCGAGTGAGACTGAAAACGATTGAATAAGCACAAGTCGCGTACGGTAAACAAATGCCGTACGCCGTCCGAATTGCCCAGTCGATAGGTGCCGGAATCGCGGGAATAGCCGATTGAAAAAAAAAAACGTACGTTTTTCCCATGTTTTTTCCCGGTTTTTCACATTTGCTAGGACACTCTTGGGAAAATCGAAGAATGATCTCCCTAATGTGTACCGCTCCTTTCTTTTCAGAAATGTTACTGCACTTAAAACACGAAGCAAAATTGCTCGTAGAAAAATTGCACACAGATAAATAAATATCTGTGAAACTCCCTCCACTCAGAATCTAAAATCGCGATATTTAATAATGCGTTTTTTTATGCAGGGGGATTACTATAAGTATTAACGGCAATAAAGGCCGGCTAAAATAAATACAGTCAATTGGGGACTATAGTCCCCTTAGCCCCTTTCCCTCTTGACTACGTCCTTGATAAAATCTATATATATGTAGTGTTAGTTTGAATATTCACGGTTATTGTCTGCGCAAGTGGCCGACAAAACTTCATAAAATACCGCTCTGGAAAAACATAGGCGAGAAGAAATTGAAATTAAAAGAAAAAAGAAATTAAAACTGCACGGACAGTTTTAATTATCGAAGATTCAATCGCATTTATTATTTTCATATCGGATAGATAACGCAGTGGTGGTTGATTGCAGTTTTAGATAGGTGGGAAGGGGACATAGGTGGAAAAAACTCGAGCTGGAATTATTATTATCATTGTTGCGACGTTTAATTGAATATTCAATCTTTTCGCATTTTATCCATTACCGTGACATTTTGGATTTTCGTACATACTATATGGTTTACAAATTAAATTAATTACTTATTCTTAACAAATTTGTTTACTATATGTTTTTTTAATATTTTATTTCAACGATTTGTTTAAATACATGTTTTAATAATGTGCGCGACCGGATATTTCAGGGATGTGCCCAGGTGAGTGATTTTGGAGGTTCAAACCACCCTTAAATTGATTTATTTCATTTTTTTTTATAAAGTAATAACTATGTAAGATGATACATTTTACTTAAATATAAGAAAAAAAAAATGTTTGAAATCTTAATTACTCTTCCAGTGTCAATTGGGACAGCATAACGATATTTTTCAAGTTTACGTCGCATAAAAACATTCTAAAGATCAACTACATTGAAAACTGACTGAAAGGATTAACTCCTACATCAATCCATATAAAAACATACCAGTAGACCCAGATAAAGTAGTTTCAAAATATATTTCATATTCAAACAGTATACGACGCACACACAAATAAAAAAAATGAAAAAAAACCATCTATTATGTAAAAAAAACGTTCTAGGATAATGGAGACGAATGCAGCCACTGCTGTAATAGGCAATTTAACGTCTGTAAGCAACGATTATCCGTATTATCGCTAACGAAAACATGAATCTGAGCGGAGCTCGATTGATAGTGGTGTTGCTTTGTCAACAATATGTAATATTATTTCATATTATTGTAAAATAATCCGCTAAAATAATCATATTTATATCCGAAATAACATTATCTCAGATCCTGAGTGAAGCTTATGAAGAAGCTTATGTTTTGACAAAGATGTTTATTTTTTATTTTTATTTTTTTTTTTATCTGTGCGCGACTTTTTCACCAAAAAATTTACTCGGATTTATACATATTTTAACACAAAAATAATTATATTTATATTATTGTCCAAAAAAAAAAAATTAATTAATAAATAAAAACTAGGCATTTGACTTTGAGCCCTATTTATTTTTCTATATGAGGTAATAATTTTGCGGTGAAAATAAAAACATTTTAAACTCGGTTCCCTACCGAAAAAAACAAGAAAAGTGAATAACAATAAACAAATGAAATCCTCGATACGCGCCTACTATAACCCCGTCATGTATAGTCACGGTTATTAGAGGTACGCAGTATTATTCCTGTGGTTTTGTGTTCTCGTTTATACAATATTAGTTTTATGCAGATTTTGTACTTGCAGATTGCCCCGGTGAATCAACAAAGCGCGTTACGGACGGTCGGACGTTATTTATTTGTCTATAATGAACACAATGCAAACAATTTATACTGTGGCTCAACGTTCGTATCCAAAATCCTTCAATAGTTTAACAGACGGTTATTTAGTGCCACGGCGCATTTTCGTCGTTTGGCGATTGAACTCTCCGGTGACAGTTCGTAAGTGTTTTCACGTATATGATTTGTATTATTGTTAATATTTTGTAGGTTATGAATGGACCGAAGAAGCTTATGGTTTTACAAAGATCTTTGCGAAACTTTTTTTACCAAAAGACTTGTCCCGGTTTTTAAATGCAGCACGTTATCTGAAAGAAAATCGGAGTAATTTTATGTATATAGTGTCTGTAAGCAACGGTTAACCGTATACAAATATCGCTAACGAAAAGAAAAACGATTCTGAGCGGAGTTCGGTTGATAGCGGTGTTAATTTTTTAACAATACATTATAATAATATGCCGTACTATGGTTAAATAATCACGCATATTACATGGCATCGCACGTTTGTTGTTTTTTCTAACAATACAATTTGTTCTATTATATTTGTACTTGAGTTTTTCCTGCGTTTTTTTTTTTTTTTTTTCGGTTTTTCCAATTTGTTTTAAATACGTAAACGCCCGGAGGACAGTGGTGAGAGAACAATAATTGGCGCGCGGTTCAATTACGAATGATGAGTAGAGGTACAGGCTATGCACGGATAGGTCGACTCTGTGGCGGCCGTAAGACCGGCGGTGTGGCGAGCTGGAACGGAGGAGAGGGGGCGATTCGGGGTGTAGTGCCGTCGAGGAGGAGAGGATACGCGATCCGGCCGCGAGGCAGGGAGAGCTTTTGGGAGACTCGCGAGAAAAACGTCCTCCGCGGTAAAGCGCGGGGTCCGGTCCGGTTTCGTCGCGGGAAAAGCGCCGTCGTCGTGACGCCGGAGCGGCACTGCCGGCGCGGAAGAGTCGTCCGCGGGGGGGAGGGGGGAAGAAAAGGAAAAAAACCAACAAACGGACACGTCGTCGCGAAACCGTCGTCACAGCGGGCCGCGGACGACGCGTACCGGGCCACAACGCGCTCACGGCACCGCTCGGAATCTGAAATGACATTCGAAGAACGCGCCGCGGAACGTTCGCGACGCGTAAACCGCGCGCGTGCCGCGTCCCCGCGCGCCCGTGACGGTATCGGCACGCGGGCGCACTGATAATACGCGCGCGCGAAAAATAAAAAAATAAAAAAAAAACACGACCGCGTGTTGTTATAGAACGTACGAGCGCGAGGAGCGGTCCCCGGCGGCCCCCACTCCGCGTACCGTAATTCACGGGTCTAAAATCGCGAATGACACCGGCGATTGACGTGCCGTTCCGTACCGTCCCGCGGCCCGGAGTCCCGGTTAAATGCGTTACGGTTGCAATTCGGATGATAACAATTGGCAGCGCGCGGCGTACCTGCGCCCGTTGCCCCGTGCGCGGCTGACGGTGTTGTATTTTATTGTCGCCCGACGACGGCGACCGCAAACCCGCGCGCGGCGCGCCGCGACGCGTCAGACCGATGCGTACGCGTGTTGTACGCGCGCACGGCACGCATACGGTCGGGTCGCGGTAATTCACGCAGCGGCGGCCGCGCGGACGCGGTACCGTTCGACCCGCGACGTCCGAGTGTCGACGGCGGTATTGTAGAGAGAGAGAGAGCGATCGAGAAACGAATTTCGTCCCGCGGGTGGCGTGCGTTTCAAAATGTATGTCGTTTCGAGACCTCGATTGCGAATTATGACGCGAACGGTTCGCCAGATAAGTTGCGAAATAATGGCACGGGTTCGGAGTGGTAGATCTGGACGACGATTGACGACGACTGTCGTCTCTGAACCGAACGTCGATTTGACACGCCCGCCAAAAACCGCCTTCTGAATAACATAGAGATATTGTTGCGCGAATGTCGAAGAAAACAAAAATCGCTGTGCGCCAATAGCCCCGTACAAAACGCAAAGAAATCCCAATCGCGGCGAGGAACGGGCAGTTAAATTTTACGGTGTTACTTTGTTGAAAGGCCGCGATTTCGAAACGAACGCATACAAATGAAAAAATTATTTCTAATTTCGATAATTCAAAAAAAAACGAAAAAAAGAAAAGTGTTTTGATATTTTTGAATTTTTGTAACCCACGCATTTTTACATCCGTCTAGTGTAGTGTGTAAGAGATACTTACGTAGCATATACGAATAAAACTATTATGTATTGAAACCGAGTACGAAATTCGATAATGACATTTATTCCATTTCTTTCGTCGTCACGTTATTCACGATTTTCGATTCGTACACGTTTGTATGACGAAACGTATAATATTCGCACGGAAAATTGTGCTCGTGTCCATTTTCATTCAAAATGGGTGCTTCCTGATACTCTTTGCGGCGCCGGTAATATTTTGCGTTTTTGATTTTTTCAATCGCTATTTACTACTATGTTATTGTCTGCCGTTCTGAATTATCCATTGATCGAACTTTGTACCCGAATCCGGCAATCCGACGGAGTTTTCATTAATTGTTCTATTCCATATTATTCTCGACCAAGGCAAATTTCGTTGGATTGGACTTTGTACCGCTGATCGCTAATCGTAATAATACGCACTTTGTGGCCAGCGACCGCATAGTTATACAGGTGCCCTCCATGCGCAGTCCTCGAGTGCGATTAGTGATTAGTTTATCCGCCTGAATTTCACTCAAATCATTATTTTCTATCGTTACGGAAGAATAACTTGGGAAATTGCTTGTAGAAAAGTCGCACGCGAATAAACAAATATATCCGTAAAAATCGCTCCGCTCAGAATCTAAAATTTAAAACTTTTTGTTTCTTTACGCGGGGGGGGGGGGCTGTTATTAAGTATTAACGGCTTTAAAGGCTAGAATAAACACAGCCCCTCCCTCCCCACCGCGTCCCTGATGAAATCTATGTACGCACGTATCTACATAGCTACATATATATACACACGTCGCGTCTCCGCCAGATCACTGAACTACGATCGTATCGCGTAATCGTTTCAATAATATTATTTCGATTTTACGAGAATTTAACTACTGATGCAATTAGTTTAAAATTAATTACACACGGTGTAAAACGAGAGTTTCCGTTTCTTGAAACGGATAAGATACGTGTCCATTTCGTGAACTTAAATGCGACCCACGCGATCGCGATCCGCGGAAAATGCGATTACACCAAGCGGACGCGGCATATACTACACACATACAGAGATTCGTATCCGCTTATTTTAACAATGTATTCATAAACTTGATAGATACTAATGTTAAAAAATTAAAACCACCTCCGAAACCGAATCCCGGACACGCCGCCTGGAAATAATTGTATTTGTTCTTCCTTCATCATCTTTATGCGGTAACAGGTAAGGCCCCATTCTCATTACAGCTCTGCCAGAGTTTTAGCCGTCACGACTAACCACCGACCTCCAATACATGTAGTAACTCTTTTTCTCCCATTCCGTTGTCCGTTCCGAGACCCTCCAGATCTCGGCACGCTCCGTCCATTAATCGCTTTTTCGGCCCAACTCTGGGTCTCCGTATTCCTGTCGGTTTGTACTCGATTGCCGCTCTAGCTCCACATAGGTTTCTTCTATTTTGTATATATATATATATATAGTCGTTCGTTTATTTTTAGCGTGAATTATTATCGTTATAATCAACGTTATTACAATGATTATCGTGTCCGTATAAACGGCGTAGAAAAAAAAAAATGTAAAACACTACAAGGCCGACAACGTTGATATTTTGAACCTAATTTCGTAAATGTTAAAAACGGCGACGGCAGCTAGTTATACCAGAATAAATACGACTTGTTTTTTTTTTTTCCATCGCGTTAGGTATTTATTAATAATTTTCCATTTGTTTCCATTAATATTTAATGGACATTAATCATTCGTTCACCGAACCGAACGCTGATTTAACGCGTCCGCCAAAATTCGGTCTTGTAAATAATACAGAAATATCGTTTTTAGGTGAGTGCCGAAAAAAAAAAAAATAAATAAATACACTACGCGGTGATATAATACGAGAAAATCGCCACCGTGCGCGCGTAATGGAATCACGAAACGGAAATTTTCGGGAACGATACGTGCGTATTACAATACATAACGCGCAGTATATAATCACACATAGACACAATGTGTCGAACATACCCGCATATGCAGGCACACCTATACTATACAATATAATACAATATTGTACGTATTGTCAATAGAAAGATTCTTCGTTTTGTACTGTCTTTGGGGAAAAAAAAAAAAAAAAAAAATGAAAATAATAATAATAAAAATACCGCAGTCGGTTTATACGCGGGCAAAATATAAAGGCGTGCGGCTCTATTGTACACATTCTATATAATTTAATCGCGTGTGTCGTTGGCGGTCTGTTTTATTATTCATTTTCTATAAATGATCTTTGTTGGGTATTAAAATATTTCTTTTTCGATTTGGTACAATATAATATAAATGCAATAACTGACGCCGTATTATACGCAGGGACGACGTCCTTTTTTTTTTTTTTTTTTTTTTTTTTTCTTGATATACCATCGGCACGACATAATACGTTTAAAAAGAAAAGGAGAAAAAAAAAATAAACGTGCGGGTCCGACAGACCGATATTATTCTCAAAGATGTGTACCTATAATTCTGCAGTGTATACCAGAGGTTCCCAAACCGTGGGTCACGGTTGTAATTTCTGTGTGTCGCGTTATATTTTTAAATATTACATTTTTTAAACGTCTATTGATTTTCGCTGTTGTTCAAATTCGGTTTTGTCGTCAATCGTTATTAGTGAGTGTGACGATTACGAGTTTACAGCGACCGAGTCGAAACGACGCAATTAGATTAATAGTTATTGAAAAGATAATGGTTTATCACAGACCACACGAATTAGCAGGTATCTGCACGGCGTTCAAAACTTTTGATAATTTTCAGTTACTCGCGGTACGTTGAACACGGTACACGTACGCAGTTGTATATTTTTAATATTATTTTTTCTCAAATAAATTCGTTTTCTTTGTACTTTTGTACAACTATGGACAAACGGTTAAACAAATAGTCATTGACTCAAAGTTAAGAAAAAAACAGAAACAATATCTGCGTCGACAGTTAAAAAAAGAAAATTTGATTACGACGAGCCTTCAACAAGTTCCTCTGAGTCGAAACAAAAATATTCTTTAAGAAAATATTGTTCTGAATATTTGCGAATTGGATTTTCGTGGAACGGGGACGAATAACACCCGCGTCCGCAATGTGTTATTTGTGGATGTATTACTTGCAAATGATTGTATGCGACCAAACAAACTACACCGAAACATAGATACGAACCATCCAGAAATGAAGAATAAACCACTCGATTTGTATGGAAGAAAACTAGAATCTCTGAAAACATCAAAAAATAATATTTTTAATTTTTACTGTTTTTAAAATAAGTTTACTTATAAATTGCTCAGACTGGTAGGCCTCACACAATTGGCGAGTCTTTAATTTTACCATCAATAAAAGACGCGGTCGCGATCGCGTTTGATCAAAAAAGTTTAAAAGAAGTTGAATGGCTTTCAAATAATACAGTTGCGCGTAGAATCGACGAAATTTCCGAATGGGTAGAATATGAACTGATCGAAAGTGTTGATTTGAGTGCACGGTTCTCATTGCAACTAGACGAGTCCACCGATACGCAAGGCTTATCTCAGACGATCGTTTTCGTACGTAAATACGCATGGACGAATCGAGGTGACAAATGTCGGCAAAAAAAGGTTTGTTATTACCATATTTTTTTCGAGTTTCACGTCCAGGTATGTATCGCTGCGACGAAATCGTTTCGTTATATCATTGTACTCGTTGTGGCGAAAACTCTAAAATGCTAAAACCTTCGTGTGCGTCTGTTGGCCATCATAATGCGCGTCCGCGGACGCGGACGGCCGTTAACGCTACGGATGATTACTGTTACTGTACGTTATTATTGTTGTAGTCCGATGGCCGCTATAATAATATTGTCACTGAAATCGGGGTTGTCGTTATTATTATTTATAAACGTAGCCAGGTAACGACCGTTCGTACGTTTCATTTCCTTTACAAAAACGCATAGAAAAATAATAATAATACGGGAAAAAAAGGCAACGGAACGACGACCTGTATACCATCCGTATAATAATACAGTCGAAGGGACACGCCGGGTCGGCATTATACTGCAGCGTGTAATACAATATTATTGTATTGAAGACGACTCGCAGTTCCGCATTTTATTTTTATATTAAATGTTAACCCCCGCCGCCGCCCCCCCCCGCTGTGCATTGTGTGTACAACATATTATGTATTTATAATGTTAGTTTAATGTGAAAATACGTCAAGACACGAATTCCAATTCGACGTACCGAAGTTGTTCGAATTAACCATACATCGTTACCTCGTCGACTCCTACTACGATATAGCGGCCGACGTTCCGGGAGTTACGGACTCCGAAAAATCTAGTGACGAACGATGAGCGGAATGCAAATCGGCGGAATTATTCCGGGGTCGAGAGTCTAATTTTAGGACGGGGGCGGGGGCGATATACCTTCTTTAGAAATAACGCCCGGATTACAGTTCGCGCAGTGGTTTTAAATACTCTGTACTTCGAATACGCTGGTCCAGGAACCAGCGAGCCGGGTGAAATATAATAAAATGCCCCCGGATTTACATCCGATTATAATTCTCGTGTTGATCACAATCGTTAATTACTTACAGCGGCGCAGTAACACCGGTTTGGAAACGGGAATTTTCCAACCGGCCCGGACCAGAATTATGGCCCGGCGCGGCCTGATCGTTCTATTCAGGCAACACAATTCTTACTCTTATTATTTAAAAACGTAGTGTACATATTTTCTGTTAAGTATTTCGATAGATAACAATAATAGCAATTGAACAAAGCATTTCGATAGATCGTTCAATTGTTGCAATGCCTGTCATTTTGAACAAAATGTATGACCAAGCATTGGATACGAAATGAAAAAAATATTATGTAAACGTAAACTAAAATTAAAATTAAAACGAAAACAGTGTCATGCGTCGTCGCGCCGACCTGGCTGGAAATAGAAAAATGAAAGGTTCGAAATCTGCAACGTTAGAAAATATCAAGGGTGTTATGGATGAGAAGTTGGGAACGTGGGATATTGAGAGACGTTTCGTGTATATCTGTACCTAAGCAAATTTAAGCGATAAACCATCGCTAACGAAAAATCGATTCTGAGCGGAATTTAATTAATAGTTGGTTTCTCAACAATATATATGTCATATTATGGTAAAATAATTAAATAGGCTTTATATATTCTCTTTATTAATATTTGTTTAATATTGATCCGATTTTCTTACGTTTTTTCCGGTTTTCCTATGTTTTTCCCAGGTTTTTCACATTTTATGAGAAAATCAAAAAATGACCACCTCAAAATACCTCCCTACACTAATTTCCTTTCAGAAAAGGTGCTACACTTAAAAATCGAAGCATGATTTGTAGTAGAAAAGTTGCGCACAGACACAGAATTTGAAATTTACTGGGTAATAAGTATTAAAATTTACATAAGTATTAAATACTATTATTGTAAACTTATGTTCAGTAAAAAAAATTAAAATAGCAACGGTTTATTAATTAATTAATAAATAAAAATTAATTTTTTAATTAATAAAAATAAATTAATTAATTAATTAACAAAAATAAATTAATATTATTTATAATTAATATAAAAGTTAACAACTTGCACTAATTGATTCTTTAGTAAAATTGACTCAAAATAGGGTACATTTTTAAAATATAAATAATAATATGTTAATATACATATAAAATAAAGATTATGAAAAAAAAAATTACCTTCCTTTTACACTAACTAAACACAATTTTCTACTAGAAACCTATTCTTGAAGTTGATGCAAAATGAAAACTTTTTTTACAAAAATGTATGCCGTAGGTATCACAGTACCTATATTTTAGTAAAATTAACTCGCATCACTCAGTACTTAAAAGTTAAAATTAATTAAGTAAAATTATTTTCTGTGAATATCACGTCGATTTTAACTGTTAAACTGATTTTATTCCTAAGGTGTATTATTGCAACTAAATAGCTAAATTATCTGGTTCAACAAAATAGTGCTTGAAACTACTTTTTAACTACTTGTACTATAAGCTAAATGTAATAATACAATTATGCGACTAAACATTTTTTATACACACAATACATTATCATTGAAAATACAGTATTGTGGGTTCGAATTAAAATGCTGAAATCGAGCGTAATGAGAAAAATTTGATTGGTACGTATTTTATTGAGTGGCCTGATTCCATTTCAGTCTTCCGGCCTGAATTTTGTTCTCACTCCGCCACTGATCACTTACGTATCAATTTATTATAATCGATTTTAATCGTGAACAGTAAAAAGTACGATATCGACGTAATACAATTTATTGGTAAATGATGGACATTTCGTCGCCCATGAAAAATAGGTCGTTTGACCCTCGGGGTATTTTGATCATAGTACGTTTGGTTTTCCGTTTTTATGAATCTGTATTATCAAGAAATTGATCAGAGATTTTCCCTTAACAATTAAACCACTACAGGTACGCTTTAAGATATTTTCTAAAGTGACATTAAACGAAAATACGACAATATATCAATAATGATAATTTAATTAGGAAAAAAAAAACCGTATTGACAGTGAGCTAAATAATATGGTTTTGGTGGAGACGAGTAACGTTCGCCTAACGGCGTCCGTTATGGATTGAGGTGATTGAAGCAGGTCGAAAAAAAAACACAGGTAAAACCACCCAAGAGCCAGATAAATTGTCGAGGCTTTTCGATGTACAAAAAATTGAATGTGCAATTCGGTGTACGAAAATAATGGAAATTTATATTTTTTTTTAACTACCGAAATTTCCATCGAATATCGAAAATAGGAACAGGATTACATCATTTTATGACGGCAATGCACCACATATCTGTAGGTTATACAGACCCGTAGCCGAACCATGGTGATCAAACTTAATTTTATGGAGGATATTATAAAAATATTAACAATATTAACCACATATACACGTGTTTGATTCTTGTTGAGGGGGTCAACGATTAGATCCAATGGGGGACAATGCCGCCTACCCGCGGTCACCTGACCCAACCTAACCGGGGCGTATTAGGATTAACGAAATAGGGAGCGTCGCACTTCATCGTCGTGAAAACCGGCAAGTTTTCGTTTGGCAATTCGAATAACATTGTATTATCCAACGACGGGCGGGGTACTTGACCGAGTGTACGCACAGACTGCGCGTAAACTGCACGCGGGCTGTATAACATACAATATGTATGAAAGGGTACTATAGTATGCGGTGTATTTAAATTTGACGGAATTCGCAGTTTCGCAAATCGTTATTCGTTTCGAATAAGTTTGTTCTTCGGATAGTGTATATACGTGTGTGTGTGTGTGCGCGCGTGCGTGTGTGCGTGTACATATATTATACATTAATATAAAGGGGTAGAGATGTACGCGCGTTTAATACTCGCGTACAGTGTATTATATTATATCGGCGACGCGAAACGAGTTCCCCCCCCCCGCTCCTCCTTTCGGTCCCGTACCCGCAAAGTTCGAAATTATTCGGTTTGCGTATATTATTATAATGTATACCGGCGGTCACCCTACATCGTGTGTTGCGTTAACTGCAATTTAAACTTTACCGCGGCAGTCGGCCGCGCCGCGCACAGGTACAATGCGCTCCCGGCGGTATAAAGTCCTGCGCGGTGGTTGTGTACGCATTGCACATCTGCCGTTTTAAACGTTTCCAACGTTCAAGTGTTACATTATGCGCGCGCGTTGCGCAAAGGCGACGCGCGTTTACGCTCGCCGCGTATCGTGCGGGTTATAGAGAGAGAGAGAGAGTCGGCTGTAAACGCGTACGAAAAAGTGCGATAAATTTATTAAGTACGAGCGAAGAACGGAGGACGAATGAAGGCGTAATGCGACAAGCGAATATAATTGACAATAGCAATTCGAGTGGAAACGGAATTATGAAAACGGTCAACGCCCGCGAACGCGCACGCATTTAGCAAACGGACGTATACGTTTTTCGTTTTTTTTTTTTATATTTATTCGCTGTGTTTCGGATATAACTATACGGTCGGTTGATAACGGCCCCGCAGTTGATCGGATGACCCGGTCAGACTCGGAATGACACCGCCGCGTTTTTGGCGTCGCCTCGAATCACCAACGGTATTCCGCGCTAGCCGACCAAACGTATTTGTCGAGACGAAACCGAAAACGTCCGTCGGCCCTCCCTTAAAATCCGGTTACACGTCCGTCGGTATAAACAGGCGCCGTACAGCCGGCGGATAAAAACGCGGAGTCGAATCGGCGTAAATGTTCGCGAGATAGAAAAAAAAAGAAAAAAATTAAATAAAATATGCACCACGCAATCCGACGCGCCGCAGCGTGTCGCGGCCAAGCGCCCGCGCGCGTCAAGACGGAAAATAATATTCGACAGTAAAAACCGCGTTGCTCGTGCCGTTACACGTAAATGTTTCAATTTCCGTGGCCGCCTGCGTCGTACAGTTACGCGGTAACGCGCGCCGGTCGCGTCTTGAAAACCGAAAGTGCGCGCGTCGCACCGCGCGCCTAGAGCCCGAGCAAAAGCTATCGGAAATTGACGCCGCGTAGGCGAATCGGACGTTCGGCGCAACTCGCGTACCGGCAACCGCGCGCGCGTCATGTCCGCCCTGGACGCGATGCACGTGCGTAACGCACGTGACAATGCTAACGATAGGTGAGCGGGAACGCGACGCACGTTGAGAAACGCGGCAATATCGGCGCGGGCGTCCCCGTAATCGTAACTGCGGCGAGAAAACGGTGCGCTCGGCGCGTTACGATTTGCGATCCGCGTCGGCACACACGGGACGGTCGTGATTTTACATACGACGCGATTACACACCGTTTCACTCGGCTCGTCTGTGCGTGATGCCGATGATGCCGCGACGCGTGAGGAAAAAAACGTCGCGCGGAAACATTGGTGACGTTCCTGCACAGAGGCGCTTGCCCGCTTTGCGGAGTCGAACGGATGTACCGCGAACGCGGAGACCGCTGTAATTGTACGGTTCGATTCGATTTGACGGAGGTTTATCACAGCGGGGGGAGGGGGGGGGAGGCTACGTTATCGCGCCGCTCCTCCGAAAATCAATCGTGTACGTTATTAAAAAAAAAAACGCACGCGTAAAATATCTCGAGTTTTGCTCGCGTTCAGCGTTTATCGCGATAAACGGGAAACGGCGACGCGGGCTTGTAGCGAACGGAAATCCTAGAGAGAGAGAGACGATTGACGGCGGTAATAATAAAATATGATGTCGTCGTCGTTGATTTAATTAATGTTGAACGTTGATGTTTACGGTTGAGCAGATACGAGATGCAATCGAGGTGCAATCCCGATCTCCGACCCGCGTAAGCCTTTTTTTTGTCAACATTTCGCGTTTCGTACGAA